AATCATCTTCAGGCGTAGAACATTATTCTAGTCTCGGATATATTAGATGCACCACTTTTTTAGGATTTGTTAACTGATGAACAAAAATATAAAAAAAAATCAATAACAAAAATTAAAATGTTTTTATAATAACATAGTTATTATTCTTAAAGCAATGTAGGAAAAAATTTAAATTTGAAAAATATAGCTTTGGTTGCTGATAGTTTAAGCCATTAATTGGTGTTCCATATGTATTAAACCATGTAAACATGAAAAGTAACTGTAACATGAATTTACAATGGACTAAAAACAGCAGAAACGTACATAAGTCCAATATGGTACTAATATATTCTGGAATATATATTGCCTGTGAGGTTATGAAAGACTCCTCTTTGTTCATGCATGCTGATTATGCAGACAGGTAATAAGTCTTTTTTTATTCAGTGCAAGGGACAAGCCACAATATTGGACAGTGAAATGACCTTTACTAAAATAATGGAGCTGGATGAACCTTCAAACTCCTTTCAGATAGTTGTCGAAACATACCATAAAGACTCAGTCTGTCAAATTGTAATGAGTAAATGAGAATGTAATCTGTATGCGCAATCAAAATGTTTCTCTGTGTGTAACCCTCTCCACACTCTGGTTTGTTTGCTTTTAAAGGTTAAGTGCTTGAATTTGAGGCACATAGTCTATGCAGGTATAAATACGTACATGAATCAATATTGCACAAGAAAGAGTGTTGTGGGTTCAGAATCTGCCATTCCTAATACAAAAGATTACTTGATCGAAAGCAAGTTGTTTCTGAGAATTTAACAAGGATGCAGACATTATACAACATTATAGGCAACATAGTTCAATTAAAAATGTAAAAAGTTCATTTGTAGTAACCTATATGTTAGACACAATATTGCCAGTTATTGGCGTGTCTGTTTTTGCTCCGACTGTGAAAATAGTTTTCAAACATAGCCACAGCAGATCTGTTGCAACAACAGGCGTTTTGATCCTGAATGAACCAAACTAAGCGGTCAAATGAATGATTCAGTGATTCACTTGTTAAGACAATTATCATGAAGGTCCTCCCAAACCAACCTCACATGAAGACATAACTGCAAAATGAATCACTGAACATTCCTACCAATATTTCTACCAAACTCATAAAAAATGTGAAAAGCCCCAGTGCATTTGGGTTTTTATATCAACATCTTGGAACGCTAATTGACCAATCACACTTTTGAAAAGAAAAGTTCCAAACGCGGAAAGAAGCATTTTTGGCTCCCCAAAGAAGATTTCAGTAAACAGTAAAGTAACTATTTTATTCTTAGTGAGAAGAACTTTTTAAAAATCTAAAGAACCTTTTATGACTATAAAGAACCTTTTGTGGAATGGAAACATTCCATGGATGGTAAAAGTTATGCCAATAAAGAACCTTTATTTTTAAGTGTGCAGTTTCAAGGGCCAAACTAACTAACTAACTAACTAACTAACTAACTAACTAACTAACCACTGTATAAAATCAAAGGTGACAGAACATTCCAGAGAATGTGAAAACTATATAGGCTGCTTATAGGTCCCTACTGTATGCAAAAATGGATCAATGTAATATTGCCTTGACTCTTTTGTACTTTATTAACAATGTACGGATTGATTAAGTTTTCTCTTTGAACAGACCAAAATAGCGTGTAGATCTCTTGGGGCAGTCTCTATACCCAATAGAAATGTGAAGGGAATTAATATTCATTTCAATTTATGCTTCTCTTTATTGCTGTAAGGGTGAATTTTCTTTTATGAGATTTCTGGAAATTAACTTTCTCGGCCCTCTCTGAATGAGGGCAAGAGGAGTGTTATACTGTATAGGAAATAAGAATCAGAAAGAAGGCTAGTACCTATGCAATATTTCCAGTTTACAAAAGCACCCATTTTTATTGCAGGTAATCTTTCAATATTCTATCAGAAGATGGCAGTTCAAAAGTCTGTCATTCAAATTCTCAGCTGGCTGCAATTGCTTTCTAAGCAAGTTTGCGGTGCATATTATATCTGTGGAGAGGGTTTAATAAGTTCTCCCCAGTGACAGGATGTCTATACCTGAGTGTGTTTGGGAAGGAGGGATTGTGTGTTTGTTTATACATGGCAAGCTTTAATGAGAGGAGACAGAGGAGAGCCGTATTTGTTGCAGTGTTGATGTGCCAGACAGCTCAGTTCCCTGTAGCAGGGAAATGGGGCCAACTCAGGCCGGAGCTCAGATCTGTCTGCAACACCCTCTGAAGCTGAATTGAGCTTGACTTCTGCCACAGCACCCTCTCCTGTCTCCAGGTCTGGGTGGGTAGGAGAGACCTTAAGGTCACTATGAAATTAATTTCCCTTGCAGTAGCAGTGCTGACACCTTCTCTTTAATACAAAGCCTCAGTGAAATCAATTACTGTCATGCTAATGCTTAGGAGATATATTTTAATAAGAAGAGCATGCCGTACTCATTGCATAATCAATTGTGGTGATTATTCTGGGTGCCAGTGTTGAGACCTGCTTGGGGCTTCATCATAATAGTGAAGTGCAATGCAAAGCCCACATCACGCCTCAGTGAGTAAATTATAATTAAAATACGGTTATACAATTAATTAAAGAGTTATAATTATGAAAAAGAGCTACAAATCGTCCCATATGGTCAAAGAAAAAAAAAAACATTATTAAATAATTTACTTTCAGACTATAGGAACATTAGCCTAATCCCATTATGATAAAATTTCGACTGAATAAATTAAATAAAATCTATTCAATTACACAATAATTAAGTAATCAGTTCAGTTGAAATACAAATAGATTATTTAAATTAATATAAATACAGTTTATTATATGTTTGTTAAACCATTCAAGTACGTTCTCAAAGGCCAGCTGGAGGTCTCAGGTTGTTTTACATAGGGTCATAAACTCTTTTTCAGCATGGTAAGTGAAACTGGTCTCTCTATTTTATATGTATATATATATATATATATATATATATATTTGAAGGATGTGCCTGTGGAATGCTAAATGAACTGGCATTAAATCTAACCTGAACCACAAACCACCTTCCAAGCAAATTCTTGTCAATGCTAAACAAATCTGAACAAATGACTGGTCACACAGATAGGGTGAGCTCAGCAAATGTGATCAGGTAAAGTGGGACAAATAGTTTCATGAAACAAATAGTTTGAACTATTATCATTTTTTATTAAAAAGAAAATTGCTTTGAAGACCTTTGCACTACCGGTATTTGGATTGCATTAAACGTTTTATGTAGGCTAAACTGAAGAAAAAAAGTCATGAATTATCATGAAATATTGTTTAATTTATACATTTTTGCATATTTGCGTGTAGGAAGGCTGTGGCATCACAGGAAATGGCCGAAAACAAACCAGTCTGACTTTAAGGAGAATTCACTTTTTAAAGGATTTTCTGTAGGTAATTTCTTGAGGTTGATTTTACACAAACTGTAGATTTGCTAAACGTCAACTATTTTAAAGACATTGAAAACACCTTTAAAACAACGACGGTAACTATTTAGGAAAACCTAGAAGCGCGTAGCCTACTGTTGCTATAACCTTCCCAGGTGATCTCGAGTTAAATTTGTGAACATCTGTTTTTGAACAGCTTGATATGCTATCCAATTTGTAATCTAATCTTTGTGTTTACTAAAATTATGTTTGAAATGCCAATGAAACAGTATGCATAATTAAAACTCTTCAGTATAATAACTTTTTGTTTTTTCCTTCTGGGTGGAGGATTCAAATCCCCAGAGAAACCCTCCCCCTCCCACCCCAGTAATTCACCCTCTGCCTTAGATGAAATTACTGAATGCAAAACATGGATCGCGGCAACACAACTGACCTACATGATGACCGTTCAGATCGTCACGCGCGGCGAGCGGGCGCGGGCGTTGTCAAGTGACGCGCGAGGGAATTGAGAGGTGGAAAGTCCGTGGATGCGCGCTGCGCCAGAGTGAAGCAGACACACTTCACTCTCCAACTGGAATAGAAAGCACCAACTGAAGATGCTATCGAAAATACAAACTGATTAGTATTTTTGAAACTTGCTCTCTACAGACTAGTTTCGTTCAATTCAACTGTAATTTCTCTGAAAATCTAGAGATTGGTGCCTTTTTAGTTACAAATCAGACTGAACTTCTCACCAAGAAGAATGTCACCGTGCGAACAGGTGTCTAGCTGGATGACAGACTACTCATCGGTCTGGACAAGTGTTTGAGAATAACTATTTAAAATCGGATTTTAGAAATAATGGATGCTACGAATTAACCAAGGATTATCCGTCACGAGATGTACAAACAACTACTTATTTCAAGGTCATTGGATTTCTTCTAATGCTCTAAGCGATCATTCCGGGAGAAGTGTATCAGGTAAGTCTGAAAATTATTTGAATCAAAGACATTAAAACACACAGGCGACTGTTGAATGAGTAAATTAACCCGTTTTAAACTTTAATTGCATATTCTAAAGCCAGCAGATAGGGTGTAGAAGAAACAATTTTTTCCAACTCAGAAATTAGCAAATTTTTACAATAACAAAGAAAAGACCAGTAAAACATCAATTTAAGTGTACATTTCTGAAGTAGAAAAACTGAAATTGTATTTTCTTGCAAAACGTGCTCAACTATAGACTAATCTTTGTTTTAATTAACTTAGAAAAATCTTTTTTTTCCAGTGTACATTACATGAAAATACAGTGTTTTAGCAATGCATTTAAAGATAATAAAGAAGAGTAATCAGTATCAAACTTGCTTTATGATGATACATTTGTTTTAATTCATAAACATTTTTTGTAATTGTGAAATGCATCAGACTGTCCTACAAACACTTGATTACCAGTTTGATGTTTTTTTTTTTAGATCCAACTATAGTACTATCAAATAAAGGAGCTGCAGGTACTATCAGTGTCTCCTCCCCCGAATCATGATGAATCGTCGGTGAGCCTCATTGTGCAGCAGGTAGCCGAGCGAATGCAGCAATCACACGCTTTCACTCTTCAGTGATGAATGACAGCCCTCCAACATCTGAGAACATCATGTTTCACCAGCTGACTGCAGATACTCTGAACGGTAGCTGTGACTATACCTTGCCCACGTGTAACAATAGCACAGGTGAAGCGGCATTGCAGCTGCCCACCTTTTCCATGGCAGCAAAAGTGAGGGTGATAATTACCTTCACTCTTTGCGCAGTGTCAGCTGTGTGCAACCTCTCTGTGTTGTGGGCTGCCAGCACCAACAACAAGCGCAAATCCCATGTAAGAATTTTAATCATAAACCTCACCGTTGCTGACCTGCTGGTGACTTTCATCGTGATGCCAGTGGATGCGGCTTGGAACATCACGGTTCAGTGGTTGGCAGGGGATCTGGCTTGCAGATTTCTAATGTTTCTGAAGCTTGTGGCAATGTACTCCTGTGCCTTCGTGACTGTGGTCATAAGCCTGGACAGGCAGTCAGCCATTCTCAACCCTCTGGCCATCAATAAGGCTAAGAAGAAGAACAAAATAATGCTGAGCGTGGCCTGGGTGATGAGTGTTGTTCTCTCTGTCCCTCAGGTGAGGAGCTGCTTGAGTGATTTTTTCTTGTTTTTCATTGTGTCTTATCTCTGTATACTGCATTACTTGAATTCACCAGAAACCCCAGGGACTGGCGTAACACCCTGAATCAAGTACAGAGATAAAAATGAAAGCGACAGGAGGTTTAACGACTTGCCTTCTTGAGCTCAGACTTGAAATATTCATATTTTCATATTTAATGTAATTTTAAACCACAAACTCATTCACTCTAAGTGGAAAATGTATTTGACAAGTATGCTATACAGTTTTTAAAATGGATAGTTCACCCAAAATGAAAATCTAGTCATCATTTACTCTCCTCATGTCTTTCCAAACCAGTTTAATTTACAAAAGAAGTTATTTAACAGAATGCCCAAGCTACCCTTTTCTTTACAATGCATGTGTGCAATCATGCATTATAATGCATCATTGCTGACAATCTTCCTTCCATCTCATCTTATTTATCTCATATACATAATATGGCATTTCAAACCATACTTTATGTCACTGATGCCATACTACACATACATCACAATGCACCGAATTTGAATATGCACATATACTGAAATCATCATAAAAGACATGAAAGCCATGGAGGTGGGAACCCTTAAGGCCCGTTCACACCAAGCACGATAACTATAAAGATAACGATAAAGATATAGTTCTAAAAATCGTTCTCAATATTAAAGAATAGCATAGTTCACACCACAACTACAACGATAACGATACAGAGGAACGATATTGTTGTGATAACTTTTAAAACGATTTTTTTTCCAGCTGATGAACGAATAACTGACAGCCAATCAGAATCCATCCTGTTGTAACGAGCTCAAGAATTTAAAGCGGCAGACGCATGTGCGCTTAGAATAAACAGACGATATCGTTCGCTGGTGTGGATGCTAATATCGTTATCTTTATAGTTATAGTTCTTGGTGTGAACCGGGCTTTAGTGTCCCTTACACAAAGGTACCATATATCATTGCATGGACTGCTATGGCACTGCTACTTCTATTTATATTTCTTGTCATTTTTGGATTTTGATCAGCTCAGATCACATATTCTAGACCCCATCCCCTCACATCTCATACTACAAGCTATTTCTCCTGCACTTCTGCTATCCATTCTCGTGTTTATTACAATCCTATGTTGAATCACTTGTTGTATTCCTCAACTGTAAGTCGGTTTGGATAAAGCATCTGCCAAATTAATAAATGTAAATGTAACTTATGTATGGAAAAAGCGGCATGAACATTCTGTATGTCTCCTTTTGTGTCTCACGGAAGAAGAAAGTCATTACAGCTTTGTAATGATATCAGGGTGGGTAAATGATGACAGAATTTAAATTTTTTGGTAAAGTATCCCTTTAACGTATTAACATTTTTTCTCTTGCCAGATTGTCTTTAAGATCATATTGAAAACCATGTTTTAAATCAGTAACTTATTCTGTTTCAGTATTCTCCGTAGACCTGTTGTAAAATTAGAATCAGAGCTAGAAAGTGTTGTAAAATTCATAGACGTTAGATTAGCTCAGCAATTACAGTACACCCTCTCATCAGCCCTTTAATTTCACCTCAGATTTAACATAATGACTGGCGCTTACCGAGACACATTACTCAACAGTACACACACACAAAAAGATAAATTATGCTGTTGGAAGTCAATCAGATGTTTTTTACATTTTACATGCTTTCTTAAATTAGCCTCAAATGACCCTCAAACCCAATATTGGAGAAAATGCACTATGATCATCAGTAACAAAATGTGAAATGAGAAAGATGAAAGCAGCAAGAATTGCTGGAATGAGTGTTAATAAAGGGTTGATTCTCAATCAGAGGAGGCGTGCACATTTTTACAACACTCTGCAGTTGAAGTAATAAATGCCAAGACCTCTTTATTTGCTCCTCCTGATGAAGTAGAGCGTTTAAAATCAGTGTGCTTCCAAGTTTAGAGGAGGCTGATGACAGGTCAGCCAGGTAAAAGAATGAGGGTATATTATAAGCACCAGAACTCCACAGTATAATACATTGTAATGACATAGCAGATTGTGTTTAAATGAGGTCATTTCAGACAGTTATGGTAGAGGATACAAGGTCACGATGGGTTATAGCAGATATTTTGTTGTCATTTGTTTATGCGTTTGCTTTTGTGAATCATATCTGAGGCATAAACAGACAGACGGCTTCAGCCTGTATGTCAATGTTGGCTCTGTCAATCTTTATTTGTCATTTGGGAATCTCCTTGTCATACTTATAATATTTAGTCTGGCATCATAATATTTATGAAATGTCCTGCAAAAGACTGAACCTGGGAACACTGGGCCTTTTGCGCAAGGGGATATACGCTACATCTAATTTGCACAGCTGACATTTTTCACTTGATTAGTTGGCTGTAGATGTGTATAACATTTAGCATTTAACAGTCACGTACAGTTCAGGGCAGAAAAGGCCAAAAAAAAAAAACAAGTAGTCATTATTGTCATTATTAATCTGATCCAATAAAGAAACAAACTCATCTACATCCTTAAAGGCCTCATGGTGAATAAATATAAAGTGAATTTTCATTTTTGGGTGAACTATTTAAAGGTTTGTTTATATTAGGCATTTTGAAGGTATTCAATGGTATTAAAAAAAAAGTAGCTGTGACTGTAAACTGCTGACCTGCTGAATTCCCCAACAGATGTTCTTGTTTCACAATGTGACTATCACGGTGCCAGCCAATTTCACTCAGTGCACCACTCGAGGGAGCTTTGTCAAACACTGGCAGGAGACCATCTACAATATGTTTACTTTCATTTGCCTCTTCCTGATACCTCTGGCCATCATGATCTGCTGCTACACAAGGATTTTGGTGGAGATCTCTCGAAGGATGACCAAAGGAAACAGTAGGTGGCATTTAACTTGAAAGGAGGCTAATGTTACTGTGACGAGAGGAGCGGGGCCGGGAGCCGTGGGAACTGAGCGAGGCCGGTGGAGGAAATGCTAATGCGCGACACCTGCGCCACTCACCGGTCTCGAGTCCCACGGAGGAGCTCCGGAAGGATAAAAGGAGGAGTGATGACAGTGTTGGACGAGAGAGGACCAGGCCTGGTGCAGGTGTCGCTCATTATCAATTACTCCACCGGCCTCGCTCCGTTCCCACGGCTCTCGGCCCCGCCCCCACTCGTCACAGTTACATACTGTATCAATGAGTCCTATCACTATATGAATAAATGTGTTCAAAATATGAAGCTTTAGAAATGTCATGTTTTGATTACTAATATTAAAATGTTTAAAATGTAAAAAATGCCTGAAAGTTAAGAATTTAAGGCATAAATATTAGTATCGTAATTTGTAGTTTAAAATAAAATTATTCTAATTATTAAAACTATTTATTTGGGGCAGTCGTGGCCTAATGGTTAGAGAGTCTGACTTGTAACCCAAAGGTTGTGGGTTTGAGTCTCAGGTCCGGCAGGCATTGTGAATTGAGGTTGTGACCCTTGAGCAAGGCACCGAACCCCCAACTGCTCCCTGGGCGCTACAGCAATATGGCTGCCCACTGCTCCGGGTGTGCGTTCACAGTGTGTGTGTGCACATGGATGGGTTAAAAGCAGAGCACAAATTCTGAGTATGGGTCACCATACTTGGCCACACATCACTTCACTCACTTACCTGCATACTTGCATGTCATGTTATTAACCCACACCAGAGAATATGAATATGTCATCAAATTATTGAAATATTAACATAAAATCTCAGGGTACTTCTACTACTATCTGAACTAGAAATCTGAATCAGCGAGTTTGGTAAAGTACAGGTTCCCACACCTCTCACCTCTGTCTGTAAGAGAGTCAGGGAGGTCCAATTATGTTGGACTTTCATTATAAGAAGTCATAAATTACAGTTGAAAAATTCGGTAACACTTTAGAATAGGGCACACTTATTCACTTTTAACTACGATTTTTCCCTCAATGAATTCCTAATTTGCTGCTTATTAATAGTTAGTAAGGTAGTTGTTAAGTTTAGGTATTGGGTAGGATTAGGGATGTAGAATAAGGAATTAATAGCAAATTGCATTTGTGGGTAAACTATCCCTTTCAGTACAGTAACGAAGTAAAATTAAAAAAAAAAAAAAATTATATTTTTACTGCAAATAAAAAAAAAAAATCTTCCTGCTTTTACAGTATCTTCAAAGGAGGTCCACTTACGGCGTTCCAACAGCAACATCCCGAAGGCCCGTATGAGGACTTTGAAGATGAGCATAGTCATAGTGACGTCTTTCATAGTTTGCTGGACGCCGTACTACTTGCTGGGTCTCTGGTACTGGTTCCTTCCTGAGGATTTAGAAGAGACTGTTTCTCACTCACTGACTCACATACTGTTTATTTTTGGACTCTTTAATGCAATTCTGGATCCCATCACCTATGGTCTCTTCACCATCCATTTCCGCAAAGGACTGAAGCGCTACTGTCACAACGCGGTCGTACTCACAGAGTCAGAGAATAATTCCATCATGACGGGCTCATTGAAATGCTCACCATCCCCATTTCGCATGAAAAGAGTGACCCAGACGAGTCCAGGAGCTGACCCGAAGCAGAATACGGTGCTGACAGTGAAAACAAGGAATAGTGGCAACCCTACCAATCCAGCCTTGAAAGAGTCATTTGATTAAAGATACGGATGTGACAAGGCAGACCTTGTACTGGCTATCTAGCTGCTCACAAAAACAATGAGAGAACAACACACTCCTGCCTGTTCTCCTCAAAATCATTAGACAGATTCAAATTGAGCCCAAGTGTGTCGCATCTTTTGATTCATTCACTGATGAGCTGCCTCAATTACTCAGTTATATTTAATACCCATCTATTTTCCTGATACAGGCAATTAAGTTTTGTAATCATTTGCTCTTTACTAAATATGCCAATCACTTGTTTTTTTCTGCAGATTTAGACCATTTCTACTTGTGGCTTTTGTTGAAAATGTCATTTACATCAAGGTTTTTTTTTTAACATCTCATTCAAATCCAAGTAGATCAGCATCTCCACCTGCTCTACATCACAAAGGGCATCGCTCTTGAATTGCTGAAAAAAGTAGTTTCCTCTACAAACAAATAAGATGTGTGGATTTAGCGTTTTGAGATATGAAAAATGCAAATTCATGTACACTGGTTACTGAATAATTTTTTGGTGTTAATTGGAAATGTTTAGTCGTACCTTTTCAGGAATCTTAACCCAGACCCTTGAGACGGTATTGTTTAAAGGGGTCCTATTATGCTCTTTTACAAAGTCTTGAGTTGTAGTCCAAACGAGTCGTTCGTTGTAGTTTTTGAAAAGTGATTTCTGTTCAATAAAATATCTCCTTTTGAAGTGGACTTTGAGCTTTGTAACTTTGCAGATATTTTTTATGCTCAAACAGCAACATTACAGGCTAACTAAAGTTGAAAAAGTGAAAAAGCATAATAGGACCCCTTTAATGTGTAGACTTTTTATTGGATGGATTCAGAAATACTAACCAGCCCCAAGAGCTCTTGCATTTGAAGTCTGTGCTAGTATTACTGGGCAGCCTGATATCATAAGTATCCATATTTATTGCGTTTACACATACATTTTTGTATTTTTGGATGTAGGCTGAAATGTACAATATGGATGTATTGACAGCATCTAAAATGTGAACGTGTTTACAGATGCGCAGCATTTTAATTGCAAAAATCTTTATGAATCCTTTATATTTTGTTTTTTAAATGTATATTTACAATACAATTTATAATTATACATATTCTGAAGCCCACCCCTACCATAACCTAACCACTCTTCAACAATATAGAAATGTAATAGATAAATGCACAGTCACAATAATTTTAGTCTCAATATACTGTTGTACACACTACTGTTCAAAAGTTGAATACTTATATTCAGCAAAGATGCATTAAATGTATAATGTTGCAAAATTCAATTCAATTAAATGCTGTTCTTTCTACTCATAAAAAAATCCCCCACCCCAAAAAATAAAAATCCACAAGATTATTAAGCAGCAACTGTTTTCAACATTAATAATAATAAAAATGTTACTTGAGCTCCAAATCAGCATATTAGAATGATTTCTGAAGAATCAGGTGACACTGAAAACTGGAGTAATGGCTGCTGAAAAGTCAGCAAAAATAAATATAAAAATTAAAATAAAATTAATTGTAATAATATTTCTCAATATTATTGTTTTTATTGTATTTTGATGAAATAAATGCAGCCTTTGTGAATGAGAATTTTTTTTGAAAAACATAATTAATAATAATAGTAACAATGTGTACATTGTTTAATCATCCTAGAAAGTCCTTCAAAATTAGAATACAGCACCAGAAATCACACTGAAAAAAATACAGATGTAAATGCAAATAAAATAAACCAGTTAATTCAATATTTGATCAATCTAAAAGGACATATCCCCTCCGTTCATACATAGAATGCTTTCATTTTAGCCTACATGCTGTCAATATTTTAATAATGTACGTTTGAGTGTCTTTTCAAACATACATAAATATATACTGTGTGTGCTAGAACCACACTTTACATTATAAATACCAACAGATTTATGATGTAACGTTGGACTGAGGCCAACACATACCGTCATGTCCCTTGCGATTGCAACAAGGAGAACTATTTAGCTTTAAAATGATATTTAATTGATGCATTAGTAGCTCATGAATGTGTTTACATCATATTTCTCAGGGAAGGTGCTTCTTTTGTAACAGGGTATTGAAGTCCAACTGGAGACTGACTGACAACCTGTAAAGCTTTCCTCATTTTAATGACAGGTGAATACTGTCATCTCTGTTGATGTGACGTTATGTGCTCTGACAGTACTTGAAACATGCCTATAATCAACAGCACCATGATCATTGCTGTATGTTCGAGAGTGTATTTCTGAGAGAGTCATGTGACATCCACTAGTTGTGCTTCTTGTGATTGCTGTTTCACTACAGGGTGTACCTGTAGTGGCCTTAATGGCCTTAATGACCTAGAATTTCAACTTCAGTAAATGTAATAGCCCTGAGAGAAAGCTTACCGAGGAGGAAAATGAAAGGGGAGTGAGTCTTTTCTATCAGTCTTTCATGGGTGAAGAGAATATATATCTACAGTATACACATGCATACGTATGTACATACATAGTATCTGGCCATTAAGGGAACCACAGCTGCACTTTAACGTTCTCAGATGGAAACGTTAGGTGTGCACTGAAGCTTCAACAGTGCCTGATGGTTTTGCAGTAGGGTTTAAAATGTATTTAGGTATTGTTTGCCTGATTTTCTCATTGTCACTATACCCATTATATATATTTGCTGAAGAGAGGGATTAAGAGATCACATAGAGAAAAAACATTACTGCATCATGATGTGAATATATGATATGGTGTTTATATGAAATGTTGCCATTAATCTAACTAAGAGGTTACAGTGTTAAAACCTTATTTAAATGCATGAAGAAGAAAGGAAAAACTGTTTTTTCCCCCTCTTGTGCATGATATATGATGATATTGTATTGTGTGTCATTGTCTGTTCTGGGTTATGTGGAGCAGTAATAAACATATTGCTTTCATTTACATTTGCAGACCTCATTAATGGCAATTATCACTTTCCTGAGAATAAATAAAATAAGCTAAATGAAATGAAATCCAAAAAGCTGAGAAGAAACCTATAACTGCAAAAATAAAATTGTTGTCACTTTTACTGCAATTATGAAGTTCCTGAGAATGCATAAAACATGCCAAGTGAAACCTAAAAATCTGAGAACAAGAACTGCACAAACATACATATTGTCAGTTGTACTGTCCAAGTACATTCACACTTTTACACTCTCTCGTCAAAGTTCTTCAAGATGCTGTTCCTTTGTAGCATTTTAGCCATGAACACCAACTCATTTTTTTTGGCGATAATGGACTTTTGAGTTCTTTTATATTCCCCTTGTCATTATTTTTATCCCTTAAAAAACTCATTGATAATCAAAATGGCATATTTAACAATTTTTGTCCCATGAAAATAATTTCTTAATGTCTTAAAATGGCTTGAATATAACTCTACGCTCTTACCTCATTAGTATATGCAGGTTATGAATATGCAAATCTCCACTCAATAACAACAGCTTAAACTATCTGCTCCACTTTCATCTTTATTGTTCTTAAAAAGGCAATTTGTTTTGTAGTCAGCAGTACACACATACATAACACAATGCAGACTTGTATTAAATTCCTTCTTGCTACACATCCCCTACTCGGTTAACTGAAGTAGTAAAATGGATTAATTCAGCCATGTATGTTTGAACCAGAAACTGATTCCAAGAAAAAGAGGAAGAGTGAATTTTCGGTCATCTACAAGTCGATTGTAGAATATTAATGCATTTTATGTATCACTCTCTACAACTTTGGATAGCCTACGTAACCCCATTGATAGCCTCTGGCTTGACTATGTTATCAAACAGCTAATGATGTGTTGCTAAAGTTACACAAATCTTGTTTCTGTTTGCCATCTCAGACAAATAATGATATGAAAAGACCCACCCCGCATGTTGACAGGATTGGGCATGTTTGTGATGGTAGGAAACATTTTTGAGACTGTCATTGGTACACTGAAATTTTAAGGAGAAAATGCTTAGCAAGGCAATGACTGATGAATTTACACATGGTTTGTCGTGACGTGTATTAACAGATTAACAACGTTAATTTTCTTTAATGGTGAAAAAATGAAGGGTTGCTGTTATATTAAATAGGTTGCTGTTTATAGGTTTTTCAGGACCAGTGGATTGTTTTTTTCCTGAAGAACTACAGAAAAGAAAAACCTTTTTTAGTGGAACTTATAAAGGTTTTTCTATATGTTGTATTCATGTGATATCAAGTATGTCTTGAAGCTTTGTTCAGTGACAGTATGAGTGATGACTGACAGCTGTGCTTTAACAGTGTAGGTGTAGATCTTTATTGCTGACGTGGGTAACACTGACACAGCTGATACTGATCAATTTTCATTACTGAAAAGACAAAAAAGACATAAAAGGTAAATGGAAATGTGTAACCAATGCACAACCAACTGCCATATAAATTTGGATGGCAGCATCTCATATTAGCCCCGAATAGAGCATTCAGTCTTTTCATTTAATGGGGAAAGATGAACTTACAAAACATACATCATCGAAACCATGCATATCCAGAATATTAAAAGAGATACATCCTGAACCGCTGTTGAATATCACAAACTTACCTGGCATTTTCTCAGAAACATATATAAGCAAATCAATGTGGATAAATATGGATAAAGTCAATTGTGGATAAATGCATCAGCTATATGAATACAACAATGTATTTAAGATGGACTAAAACAGAATGCAATAAGTCAAAGTTCCTCATAATATTTTGTCCTTGTCTAGTCTTCATATTTCAAAGGGAATTTTTCCATACCACCTCCGCCTTTGGCTTGTATCGTGAGGATTGTAAGGCACCTTTCTTTGCAAAGCTGCTTTGGAGCTACTTGTATTGTGAAAGCACTAAGTTGAAATTGAACTGAATTATAGATTTTTCCCATGACCTTTATTCCAGGGCAGGCATTTCTGCACATAAAACTAGCAGCAGCTAAGGAGTTGATGTTAAGGGGCAAACTTCTAAAACATGAAATAACTTAAATCAAATTCATAA